TTCAGCAGCGGCGACTGGAGGTCAACAAGCCTTTTCAGCAGCGGCGACTGGAGGTCAACAAGCCTTTTCAGCAGCGGCCAGTGTCAACAATGCCTTTTCCAGCAGCGGCCACCAGGTACAACAATTCCTTCTTCAGCAGCGGCGACTCGCGTGTGCCTTCCATCCCAAGGCCCCCGTGTTTCATCCGTCGGCGGGCGCATCAACACCCGCGACGATCGGCCAATCAGAGCTCCCATGTCCATCTGATCCCCCTTCCGCTCCTAGCGCCTTGCCGCCCGCCCACTCCTCCCAAACCTCCGCCCTGACACCCCCAAGGCCTGTCGTCTGTCGCCTGTCGTCTGTCGTCTGTCTCTCTCTCTCTCTCTCAACTCCAAACGACGGCCTCCTGTCCTCTTAAAAACTCCGCCTACCCGCCCGCTGTCCTTCCCGCGAGATGCCTGCTTGATCCTCCCTCGCTCGTCACTTTCAACCCGTCGTCGCTAGCTCGTCGACTTCACAACAATACCATTCTCCAGCTGTGCTGACCCCTTTCACCACTTCTTCACCCTCGTTCAGGGCCACTGTCCTTCTCCTGTGCCTTTCTTCACTCGCTCTGCACCTGACACTCCCACCGCCTCATTCGCCAGTCCGACCCGTGCCTCGACCGCCTGCCTGGCCGTCGCGCTGCCTCCTCGCATGAGTTCTTGATACTGTTGCACCACTCCAACCAACATCCACCAAGAAACAATCCATTCACTCTCTCAATTCTCTGTCTTTGCCGGCCATCAAGACTGTCCATTCTTTTCTTTCACCACCGCAGCGCCTCTTCGATTCGATACCAGACATCTCCCTTTGCCCCACTCCCCCGACCAACATCTCAAGCATGCAAGCCATCCTCGCACTCGCCGTCCTAGTGACGCGCGCCCTGGCCGAAAAATCAGAGTCCCCAGCGGAAAAGGCGGCGGAAATGGAGGCCATCGTCTACAACATCGACGTCTCCTACTGGCTTGGCTGGACCTGGCTTGCCTGTGTCGTCGCCCTCGCCGCATACCTCACCGCCGTCACCTTTGTACGCTACATCCGTGGCATCGCCTGCCTCAACAACCCTGCCCAGCGCTACTTTGCCGAACCAAACGCCCTGTACGGCCAGTTCAAGCGCTACCTCTTCGACGCCCCGCTGTTCCGCACCCGTCACCACCGCGAGTTCAAGCTCTCCGCAGCCATCAATGTGGGAACACTTCCCGGACGTCTGCAAATGATCTACCTGGTTGCATACTTTGGCATGAACGTTGCCTTCAGCGTCATCTACATTGACTGGAGCAGTGCCGAAGCCGTGTCCCATGACCTGCGCAACCGTACCGGTGTTCTCGCTGTCATGAACATGCTTCCCCTGTTCCTGCTCGCTGGCCGCAACAACCCGCTTATCAAACTCACCGGTATCTCTTTCGACACTTTCAACTTGGTGCATCGGTGGATCGGTCGCATTGTTATCCTGCAAGCACTGACCCATACACTTGCCTGGATGGTGCCCAAGGTCAATGAGTGTAAGTGCGGCTCGACCCATTGCGGGCATACGCTGACAGTTGACAGCGGGTTGGTCCGCCGTTGGCAAGTCGATGGCAGGAAGCCAGTTCATCCTGTGGGGAACAATTGTAAGCTTTCGCATCCTGGCCCGTTTCCTTTGGCTAACGTGACAAGGGAACCGTTGCCTTGTTGATCATCCTGCTTCAAGCAGCTTCGGCCGTCCGCCATGCATTCTACGAGCTGTTCCTCCACTTCCACGTGCTTCTTGCTGCTGCCTCCGTGGCTGGTGTTTACATTCACTGCCAAGCTGGAGGGCTCCCTCAGCTGCCTATTATCCAGGGCGTTCTTGCCATCTGGGTCATTGAGGTACGCTTTGCTGCCGACAACTGGACCGACAAAGACTGACACTTTAGCAACCAGCGTTTCATTCGTCTGTTCCTCATCGGCCTTCGCAATGTTGGTAACGGCGGTACAAAGGCCGAAGTATCCATGCTTCCTGGCGACGCCCTGCTCATTAACCTCAAGATCGCCCGTCCATGGAAGTTCGCCACCGGTCAGCACGTCTACCTCTACCTTCCCTCTGTCGGATGGTGGACCTCGCACCCATTCTCCCTAGCCTGGAGTGAAACCGAGGAGCCCTGGACTGAGGAAAAAGGCCTCTCGATGCCCAGCGAAGAAGTCCTCACAACCACCAAAACGACCATGAGCCTCCTCGTCAAGCGCCGCACTGGCTTCACCGACAAGCTCTTCCGCAAAGCCGAAGCCAGCCCAACCGGCAAATTCACGACCTCCGCTCTCGTCGAAGGCCCCTACGGCCACCAAGACCTCACCTCCTACGGTACCGTCATGCTCTTCGCCGCCGGCATCGGCATCACCCACCAAGTCCCGCACATCCGCAACCTCGTCGCCGCCTTTGACAACCACACCGCCGCTGTCCGCCGCATTCGCCTCGTCTGGGTCGTCCAGTCCCCCGAGCACCTCCAGTGGATCCACCCCTGGATGACGACCATCCTCTCCATGCCCCAGCGCCGCGAGTGTCTGAAGATCCAGATCTTCGTCACGAGGCCGCGCAGCACGAGAGAGATTTACTCCCCGAGCGCTAGCGTGCAGATGTTCCCTGGCCGTCCGAATATCCAGGCTCTTGTGGACCAGGAGATGATTGAGGGGGTAGGCGCGGCGGCTGTCAGTGTTTGTGGGACGGGCGGGTTGGCGGATGATGTGCGCAGGGCGGTCAGGAAGAGGCAGACGGAGTGGAACGTGGACTTTTTCGAGGAGGCGTTTTCGTGGTAAACGGATCGACCGACTGTGTCCCCTCTGGAGTCGAGAAGGTCGGCTCATGACTCCATTTCTCGGCATCTTACGACTGTTCGAAGGCTCCACTCTTTTTGGCTCATCAGTCCATCTTCACTCTTTTCGGCGGTGCGAAGGGCAGGGTGTGGCTCGAATCTCTCTTCTTGTTCGTGTAGATCCTTCCCGCCCTTTTTCCCTTCTAGTGTGTTTATCTGGGTTTGGCCGGCGAAGAAGGTCTGGCCACGTCACGTAACTAGCCGCTGCTAGGTGGCGGCCGGCCAAAGTACAAAAAGGTCGGGGATTGAATGATGGACATGACGTTATGACTTTCTAGCTAGTAAGCCGTGTGTGTGCTCGTGTGGTCTGGTAGTGACGTGCTCAGCATGATGTTTCCCACCACCTCGCACTCTTTCCAGGCCTTTACCACATTCTTCCTCTGCGTCCGCCTCTACCTATCCTTCTCCTCTCTCTTCCCCCTCCCAGTGCCACCTTCCCCCCCACACCGATTCTTCTATCTGACCTCTCCGTCGCCCCATTCTCTTCCTCCTCGCCACCCGTCAACGTCTCCATATACCCGCTAGTAAGCCGTATATATCTATACCGTATTGTTTAGTCGCGACGTGCGTGGGGTGCTGTGACGGTATCTGGCTTGTGCCTCTACGCTTTCCACGCCTTTGCTGTGTTTGGATCGGTGGTGGAGTTGGTGTTGGGGTTTTGTGGGAATGGTTTAGGGGTTTGTGGTTGGTTGTGGTGGTGTTGGGGTGGGGGTTATGGGGGGTTGTTCTTCTTGTTCTTCTTGTTGTTGTTGTGCTTACTATTCTGATACTTTACCGCCTCGTTTTCCGCGATCGGTTGAGATAAGTTATGCAAGCTAGTAAGCCGTATGTGTTGATTGTTGTTTGGGCTAGTCGCGATGTGCGTGGGGTGCTGTGGCGGTATCTGGCTTGTACCTCTCTACGCTTTTTACGCTTTTGCTGTGTTTGAATCGGTGGTGGAGTTGGTGTTGGCTTTTTTGTGGTAAGGGTTTAGGGGTTTGCGCTTGGTGGCGTTGGGGTGGTTGGGGTGGGGGTTATGGGGGGTTGTTGTTGTTGTTCTTCTTCTACTTACTATTCTGATACTTTACCGCCCTGTTCTCCGCGATCGGTTGAGATAAGTTATGCAAGCTAGTAAGCCGTATGTGTTGATAGTTGTATGGTTTAGTCGCTACGTGATGAGTGTATTGTAACGATATCTGGCTTTCTACCTACGCTTTCCACGCCTTTGCTGTATTTGAATCGGTGGTGGAGTAAGTGTTGTTTTTGTCTGCGGACGGGTTGGTGGTTGCGTTTGCTTGGTGGCGTTGGGATGGTTGCGGTGGGGCTTACGGACTATTCTTCTTCTTCATCTGCTCACTATTTTTTCCCTCTACCGCCCTGTTCTCCGCGATTGGTTAATGTCACGATATACAAGCTAGTAAGCCGTATATATATGTATCTATACTTGTATAGTTTAGTCGCTACGTGCTTAGTATACTATAACGTTATCTGGCTTTCTACCTCTCTACTCTTTCCACGCCTTTACTATAGTGGAGTGACCGTTGTTCGGTTTCAAGATCCTGGGGGGAGAGGGCGGGAGCTAGGGGGCAGCTGGGTATGAGGGGAAAGAGTAGTGGGGACGAGTGTATGGAGGGTACCGTGGTGTGCTTGAGTGAGTGGACGGGATGGCGTTTCCGGTGTTGGAGACCCAAACCTTACTGTCAAATTCTACTGTTGATATCACGCACAGCGTGGATTTTGCATCCATCAACCAACCAACAGCGATTGCAACAGCCGCCCGGCTAGCTCAATCGGTAGAGCGTGAGACTCTTATCCAGAGTGCATCTCAAGGTTGCGGGTTCGACCCCCGCGTTGGGCTCAATTCCCTGTCCTTAGGTCTTCTTTTTGATCGGTGGTCATCTGGTGGTGTTGTCGTGGTGGTGGTGGGTGAAATTTTTTATGGTTTTCGGGAAGTTTGGCCGAGTTTCGCCGCGGGATACATAAGTTATGGTCGGGTACGCTCATGCGTGGATGACTGGGGTTTTGCGTCTCGGAAATGGCTGCTGCTTTGTGGTTTGGAGTTTGGCTGATGTTGTCGGCACTGGAAGATTGGAGTGACGCTTGTTATATCGTTGTTGTGGAGTAGATTTTTTGACAATTTTTTTGCTTTAACGTTACAGTAAAGGGTATTCCGAGAATGTAGACCCTAGGAACATAAACAGAATTCTGCTTTCAATTCAATCATGAACGAACCCATGAAGCTGTGCTATCGTTTCTGTTCCGTGCTAGCTCCGCGTAAGGATGGAGGAGGGAAGGAAATGGACTGCACTGCACTGTGCAAACATCACATCTTGCCCCGATCCCATGAGTTAACCAAACCCGTAAACAACCTACAAAGAAGTCCCAACAGCCCGAGCAACCAGCCAGCCCACGGAACAGCGCAGCGACACGCAACCGAGACTCAAGCCAACGGACAGAAAGAAATCTCGATAATCACACCCATCGAGTTTCGAAGCCGCAAACAACAAACACCTGCACCTCAAAAAGAGGGGGTTGGGAAAGGGATAACGTTGGGAAAGTGAGCGCTGCGTATATAAACCCTGCCTTCCTTTCCTACCCAGTATCAAGGAATCTAGGTCCAAAATCCTCTCCCACCGTCAACCGGCCATATACCACCCCACTGCTACTTTCGGCCTCACCGCCGCAGTAGTTTCGGGACGGACCTGCTTGGCATGACGGTGAGATGGTCGCGGTATCTCGATTTTACTGGCTGTCGTCTTGAAAGCATGGGAGCAACCGACGTCGCCGTCTCATCCTCTCCAGCACTGTTTCCGGCAAACAATGCAGGAGCCGGGACGCGGATCGCGGGAGAATTGCTGTGCTGGGGCTCGACTGATACTAGGACTCAGGCGTCCTGCTGTTGAGTTGGAAAGGCAGCGGGGTTGCCGGGGTAGGCTTTTATACCCGCCAACTAGATGATCGGGTAGCTTTTTCGTCTAAGATAATAGTACCATCGAAACCGGATCTCCCGTATTCCCTTCCATGCAAAGAGGAAAACGTCTTCACAGTGTACGGGACTGGTCCTTGTTACTTGTCAGGACACCCTCAAGAAACCGAACAGGTTCAACCCACAGCGGCTGATGACAAGTTGTCTGCACCAAACACATGCACCCCCGACGATTGAACAACCGGTGAAGAATATAGTTTGAAGACTAGAACGTCACATGACTACATGAGAGGCAATCACGACCCGAGAGACCCAACCGTCAACGCCTACGGAAAGCCGTCCAACGACCCTTAGACACACCAGCCCGATACAAGCCACCAGACATGAACAAAACCCATTCATCTCCAGTCCCTACACATGCCCCGTGCGCTCGATCGACCCAAGCTTTTCAGTCCACTCCACCCACCCAGTCCAGCCGATACGCAACTTTCTACAGGCACCTTCCACTCCAACCTCTACACCTACACATCGCCAACAACCCCGAAAGCCAGTCCCACAACCGCGCTCGCCGCACACCAAACCCCCGTCCAACCGACCGCGCCCTCCAGATCCGCGCCCTCGAGCACAAAGAAGCCGCACACAAACGTGTTTACCGCCTGCATGGCCACCAAACACGCCGTCCTTGCAATCAACACCCTGGTCTGCTTCCGGTACCCCCAGACGTTATGCTTGACCGTCTCCCACAGGCTCGCAGTCTCCGGGTTGAAAGGCTTGGCCGTGATGTCGCCGAGGTTTGTTTGCGCGGCCAGGGACGGGGTGAGGATGAATTCGCGGGCGGACCATCCGAGCGCGAGGGCGGAGGTGATGAGGGTGGGGAGGGTGGCGGTGTGGGCGTAGGTGAGGGAGGGCAGGTTGTCGAAGTGGACGACTAGGAAGCGCGGGAGGAAGGTCAGGAATGACACGTAGAGGACGACGGCGTAGATGGCGGCGCCCAGCAGGGAGTTGATGGCCGTGGTCGGGAAGTCGTCGATGATGTTGCGGTTTGGGATCGCGGAGCCCGGGGCGTTGGGGTTGTGGACCGCGTGGCGGGGGCGCAGGAGCCGGGTTGGGAGCGCGATGGAGAGGGTGTCGATGAGGACGCAGAGGAGGGTTGTGCGCAGGTTGATGAGGTAGAAGGTGTGGAGGAGGTAGTAGAAGGGAGCGTAGGTGAGGAGAGAGAGAGCGACGTTGTCGATGTCTGTTGGTCCCATTTGTTAGCATATCATTATGGTCTTGTCTCACCGCTGCCGGTCCTGCGGTCTTGCTTGCGGTCCACCAGCATCTCTCGCACTCACCATCAAAGCCCCCCACGTATCCCACAGCCAGCAATCCGCATTTCCACCCCAACACCACCGCCATCTTGAGATCCTGATTCGCCGGACTCGTCACCGCGACCAGATTCGGATCCATCCACTCCGCAGCCGCGCTGTACAACCCTGCCGACGCGCTCAGGCTGAGGACCAGGAGGAGCGCAAACCGCACGATGCCTGGGAGTTTGCTGGTCGGGATGGGAGGGTGCTGTTCCGCGATGGGGACGGCCGGACCGTCGGCGTCGGCGACGGGCTTGGTGGTGGTGGCCATTGAGTCGCGGGATGGCATTGTTGTTGTCGAGGGATGGACGGGTGGGTGGATGAGAGGGTAGGCACGTGGGACGTGACGCCGTGATGTGGAGGCTTTGGCGCACTTCTTGTCGCGATAGGCGCGAGATTCGAGATCAAAGGCGCGTTGTTCGTGTCTCGCGTCGAGATTGATGGTGACTCGGGCTGTTGGCGCTTGGTGTTTGTTTTTTGCAGAGGGCGCGAACGTCGTCATGGCGCAGAAACTGGTGGCTGGATTGGCTGTGGTCTGTGCTGAAGCTTGCTCGACTTCGAGTCAGGCTGATGGAAAACAACAACGCCATGTCATTTGCCCATGATGGGCGTCGGTACGTATTCAGTTGGTATCTGATGAGGGACTTTGGTAGTCTACAGGTATACGTACAAATACGCCAATGGTCTAGTCTCTTTTCCATATACAACCCAACGCCCTTTACCCTCACATCCATCTTGATCCTGATCCCAACCCTCCTCTTTCTTTGCCTTTACATACCCATTCCAACGCCCTCAATCCCACACATCACTCTTCTTCCTCGCCCAGTCCTCCTCTTTCTCTCTTCTACATCTTCATCCCAACACTCCCGTCCCTCAATCATCCCCCTCCTCCTCCTTCTTCCCCTCTACAACCTCCATCGTCACATCCTTATCCAAATACCCCTTTGCATTCTTGCTAGTAACCTTGTACTTTCCCCCATTCCACAAGTCCTTAATCGTCAACTCTCTCGTGCGGCCCAAACTCTCAATCGCGCTGATACGATCAAGCGTCGCTTCGAGATGCTCGTCGAAGCCCGGGCGGGAGCAGATTTCGCGGAAGGCGTTTTGCATGGGCACCGAGTCTGTTTGTTTGTTAGTCAACGCCGCCAGAGCCGCAAGCGGGCAGGAAGGATGGGGCCACAAGTAGCTGTGGGGATACACATACCAGCCCTAACCATCGCCCTCGAATCAATCGTAAAAAGATTAATCGCATCATACGCCTGTATGAAGTCCGCCCTCGTCATGATCTGCCTAGCCTCGTGGAGCGGAATTTCAGGCAGTATGTGCCCCCTCTCCTCGTCATAATTCTTCTGCATCTCCTTTTCCTTGTCAACCAACGCTTTAGCCAGCACCATGGCCGCGGAAGCGTATTTCTGCTGATCCATGACATCGTCGTCCATTTCCTCGCCGAGGATCCAGCATTGGTTCAGGAACCACGTCTTCTCGGTTTCGCAGATCTTTTCGCAGAGTTCGAGCATGTTCTTGTCTTTGGCGATGCGGCTGAGGTACGAGAGACGACCGCCCACTTTGTCGTAGATGGTCTCTAGCATCTCGTTGGATGTCATTTCACCGTAGTATTTCTGTCGGTAGTGCTTCAACGCTGACAATGCTTTCCGCTTTGGTAGGTCGTTGATGGGCGTCACTTCCATGCGCGTGGCGTACTTTTTCAGCCTCTCGTACACCCAGTAGTCGTCCGAGTTCAGGATGACGGTGGCGAGGTTGGCGGCGGCCCATTGCTCGGCGCGTTGTTGGATGAGCTCGATGAGGTCTTTGCCGTCGTCGTCGTCGCGGATCAGGTGGATGCTGTTCATGATCAGGATGAGGGGTTTGCCCTTTTCATTGCGTCGCTTCAGCGCCACTTTCTCGAGCTTGTTGAAGGCGCGCTCGATGTCGAGCAGGGCGGAGGCGTCGCGGGGTCCGCGGATGGAGAAGAGCGAGCCGATGTTGTCTTCGTGGTACTCAAAGTCCAACGCCTTGCCCAGTCTGATGCGGAAGATTTCGGGGTCGGCGTGCGCTTCGAACATGGCGACGCCCTCGCCATCGATCTTGGCCATGGAGTCGATGAGCATGGAGGTTTTGCCAGTGCCTTTTTCGCCGATCAGGAGGTGGTAGTGGCCTTTGTCTTCGCCACGGATGATGGCGTCGAATTTGGTCTGCTCTTCGCGCGGGATCCAGTGCTCGTTGATTTGCCCGACTGGCTTGATGAATTTGCGGCGGGCGAGGTCGAGGACGGGGTCGCCGGGGTTGAAGGCGTTTTCCATCTTTTCGAGGACATGGTATTTGTAGTAGCGGGTGTAACTGTAGCCGACGAGACTGGAGGGTGTCAGTCTGGGTATAGACAAGGCTGGTTGTGCATGTATCTGTTGTTGGGATGGCATCATTCAGATAGCATCTTTTCGGTCCTGTGATGAAAACGTCTACATGTTGGAACAGGAGAGCTGGTCATCTTCAGAGAAAGCAGGTAGCGAGTAGTGTTGCCTGATGCAGCAACGGGATATGAATGTTTGGAGTCATAGGTAGTTCAGGCACAAGACATGGAAACGG